TCCTGGGTTTGACCTTGGAGCATTCAGCATCCTCTGCCCCACCATGCGCTTCCCACAGCGAGTCCACCCAGGTGGGGTCCTGGGGAAGCCAAAGGGTCCTGCCCCCCAACTTCGCAGTCAGATGTGACTCTCAGCCAGCCAGGAAAACAGAAGGTTTATTAGACGACAGGAACATGGTCTAACACAGAGCTTGTAGGTACAGAAAACAGGACCCCTCAGTCAGGTCCATCTTGGGGGGCAGGGAGCCCAGACTCTGGTTCTGGGCTTCCCCCCTTTTCCCTCCCAGTTCTAAACTGAAACTCTCCAGCCCCTCCTCTGGCCTTTGTCTCTTTCCCGGGCCAGGAGGCCACCTGATCTCTTTGTTCTCCAGCCCCTTCACTTGGCACCTTTGCAGGGGAGGGGCCCAAGCCATCAGTTGCCAGGAGACAGGGTGTCAGCCATTCTCTGTGCAGAAAGCATCACACTGGCCCACTAAGGCTCTGCAACAATCACACACCCTTATCCCACCACCTAAATACTTAAGAACTGCATGGGGAAACTGAGGCACCCACACAGTATTCAAAGAAAACATTAAGAACAGTCCCACTTCGTCACAGGAATGATTTGGAGCAGGTCTCTGGCCCGCACTATGCTGGGGGCCAGACCAGATGGTCACAGTGGCCCCTTCTGGCCTTGGGGTGTGTGAACTGGGCAACTGCATGCACAGAGACCCTCAGTCACACACTCGCACTCCTGGTGCTGCTCCGTAACCTCCCCCCATGCTGGGGTAGGGGTGTTAACTCATGACCTTTGACCCCACCCCCAGATTTCACGGAGAACGTGGAGTTCACGCTGGAGTCTCCCGTGGTGATCAAGGAGGGGGACGACGTGAGGCTGCGGTGCCAGGGGGATGGGCAGCCTGAGCCGGAGTACATCTTCTACCGAGTGCAGGTATTGGTGGGGATACCGGGTTTGGGATGGGGGGATACCGGGCAGCCCAGGCCCCAGGGGTGGGAGATCCCGGGTTTCCCCGGGCACCTGAGCCCTGTGGGGGTGGAGGAGGTGTCCAGGCGCCGTGGGGCTGAACTCTGTGGGAGAAGGAGGGGGTTCCCGGGCCCCGTGGGGCTGAGCCCTGTGGGGGTGGAGGAGGTGCCCGGGCCCCGTGGGGCTGAGCCCGGGGAGGGATACTGGGCTGCCCTGAACACCTCCCCATCCCCCCAGGCCTCCCAGGCCGTGGAACTGGCCACCAAGCAGGACGGGGTCCTGACCCTGCCCAGCGTTTCCAGGGCCAACAGCGGGACCTACCGGTGCCAGGTGCTGGACTTCGACAGCCCGCCCGAGGTGCAGCTGGAGAAGGAGGTGATCATCCACGTCAACTGTGAGTGCCCCAGGGGCTGCTGGGAGATACGCCATTTCCCCCCCCCCCCAGTCAAATGTGCGTGCCCCAGAGGCTGCTGGGAAATATGCCATCACCCCCCCACACACACATCCACTGTGAGTGCCCCAGGGGCTGCTGGGAGATACGCCATTCCCCCCCCTCTCCTCCCCCCCCCCGTCAACTGTGAGTGCCCCGGGGCTGCTGGGAGATACACCATTCCCCCCCCCCCCCCCCATCAAATGTGTGTGCCCCAGAGGCTGTTGGGAAATATGCCATCACCCCCCACACACACATCCACTGTGAGTGCCCCAGGGGCTTCTGGGAGATACAATTGAAGTGGAGGAGGGGTGGCATGAGTGCCCCAGGACGTGTTGGGGGAGGGGTGGGGGGGAGTGCCCCAGGGTGGAGAGGGGAGGGGTGGCATAAATGCCTCAGGGAACTGGCTTGGGATGCTCACACCGGGAAGGGAGGGGGTATGTTTTGAGGAACCTTCTGCATTACAGCTTAGCCCATCCCTGCCCCTCTCTTCCCCCACAACAGACCTGGACCCCCTGACCCTGCACCCAGGCAGACGAGTGACAGTACCCCTGGGTGGAGATGTCACACTCACCTGCTCCGGCCAGGGCTCCCAGCCCCCCAAACTGGTGTGGAGGAAGGTGAGATCCACCGGGGCTTGACTAGGTATCGGCAGGCCCTGCAGGGGGGCCTGTTTATACAAGGACCCTCCCCCAGCGCTTAGATGCAGCCACCTCTGGGGTGGGGTGCAGGGGCTGTTTATATAGGGATCCCTCGCTTGGCACTAAGATGCAGCCGCTCTGGGGTGAAATGAGGCAGAAATCTCACAAACCGTGATTTTTCAAGGACATCTGGGTAATAGCTGATTCTGGGGAACCTGCTCCCCCATCCCACGCCCTGCAGCATAGCCCCCCCAGTACCACGTGGGGGCATTGGGGCCAGCGCTGACGGCCAGGGCAGAGCACCCCCTACTGAGCCCCCACCCTGCTCCTTGCAGCACAGTGCCCCGGCGTCCTCTCTCATTGCAGGGCAAGGAGCGAGTGGCTCATGGGGACACCCACACCCTGCACTCGGTCTCGTACCACATGGCCGGCACTTACACCTGCGAGGCCTCTGTGCCCAGCGTCCCGGGGCTGCAGCGGGACCAGACCATCCAGGTTACCGTGGAAGGTACGGAGCTCCCTCCCGGTGCACAGACGTGGGGCGTGCCCCCCAGCTGGGACAGGGCATGGGGTGGCAGATCAATGTCGAATTCCCAAGGCCGCATCTCCAGCAGAGCAGCTAGCCCCGCGTCTCTCTCTGGGCAGAGCCCCCAGGGTGGGTGCAGCGTAAGGCTGACGGCAGAGCCGCACCACCTCCCGCAAGGACGTTAGCGATGCTGTGTCTACACCGGAGGATGGGGGCCTTTGCCAGCAAAGCTGTGCGCGAAGGAGCTGGATTTTTCACACCCCTGACGGATGGGATGGGGCCCAGGGGGTGAGAGCATCAGAGCACACATGGAGGCTCGCCTGGTACTGTCGAGCGTTGGCAGAGCCCGTGTGGGCAGGAGCGTCAGACCGAGAATCCACCCTCCAGACACGCGCTCCAGCATCTCCGCTGCCTCCGTGTGGGCCCCGAGTCTCCATGTCCAGCCATGGAGCATTGTGGGTGCAGACTCATCCATTCAGACCCGTCAGTTCTAGCCCCTCTTCGCCCCCGGCCTGCCCTGCTGGGCCAGACGAAGCTGGTTGTCCTGTATCCCCACAGGGGGTGGCAGGGCAGAGGTGGTGGACAGGCCCTGGCTCAGAACCATACCACAGGGGGCTGTGCCTGGGGAGTCCTGGAGTGGCCGGGTGCCGTGACGGGGAGTGTTCCAGGCTCAGGGGGCGCAGGGTCCTGGGGTGTCCCTTTCTGGGGCAGGGGCCAGTGATGCCCAGGAAGAGGGTCAGGGTGGGGGCTTGGTGTCCGGGAACCTGGGGATGCAGGGTGGGGCTCCCTGGGGTCAGGAGCTGAGGTAGGGGGACACCTGGTGGCAGCATGGGAGGGGGTCCATGCCAGGGCAGCTGGGGACTGGTACCCAGGGAGGAGCAGTGGCAGGGGAGCTGGGGGCGTGTCTCTGGGGCCAACTGGGGGTCCCTGGGTGCAGGGAGCTGGGGAGGCAGAGTCGACATGGGGCCCAGGGGGTGTCTACGTCTCTGACTTTTACCCTTCCCCCAGGGAAGCCGGAGATGGAGGAGCGCCCGACCCGGCACCAGCTCCTGGCCGAGGGGCAGCGCATCCAGCTGACCTGCTCCGCTCTGGGGCACCCTGAGCCGGAGCTCAGCTGGAGTCTGCCGGGGGTGAAGGTGAGGGGGCAGGGGGAGGGGACCTGGTGCAGCGGTGGGGGGAGGTTCAGGGGGGCTGGTATCTAGGGAGGGCAGAGTTGGATGCGGCAGAGGTGTGTCTCAGGGTGGTGGGGAGGGGGTGGGGGCACAGGATGGGGAAATCCCTGTAGAGAAGCCCCCTCTCGCATGCCCCCACTGCACCTCCGCCCCCAGCCTGGGCTGCTCCCCGCCCTGGCAGGGAGCTCCTCTCTCCCCCCAAGGCCCAGCTGCTCCAGTGACAGCTGCATGGTCGGCAGCTTCAGAGGAGTCAGGCATTCGTGACTGAGCTGGGCCTGGGAACCGGGGGGGGCAGCACTGGGTGGCCACACGGGGGTCATGATCTTCCCCCGCACCCCCAGGACCTGGCTCTCACTGCGGCAGGGCAGCTCCCCCACGCCCCGCTGGCTCTGCAGAGCCCTTGTGAAGCGGGTCTCGGCCTGGCGGCTGCGGGGGAAAACATTTTGCAGTGTGAGCCCTTGTGCAGAGGGCACGTGTGGGGTGACACCCCCTGTGCTGGGAGGCAGCACGGTTCAAGTCCCCCCGGCCATACGTGCTGGAGGCTGGGACTCGATTTGCTGCTCCGTCCCAGTGTGATTGCCCTCGATTTGCTGCTCCGTCCCAGTGTGATTGCCCTTGACACCTCCCCCCCCGAACAGCCAGACAGGGCGGCAGGGCAGGAACAGCCCCAAAGGGGAGGGGCACTTGGGGGGCAGAGCAGTTGCGGGAGGCGCATAGAGCTGGGGGCAGCAGGGAGGATCTGGGCCCCATGGTGCTGGGATGTCTACCTGCCCCCAGGAGGTGTGTCTACACAGCACGCAGCCCGGGCTGTGACCCAGGTTTGAGCCCAAGCCCCTGCTTCTCTCCACACAACCTGGTCTGACTCGGGTCGGCGAGTGCTTGGGACCCAGGTCCTGAGAGTGGGAGAGAGCCCCCGTTGCAGGCTGTGAGGGTCCAAACCCTGTAGTGTGGACGCGGGTTACACTGCAGCCCCGAGGCAGAAGGGCTGGGCAGCTGGACGCTCGGGACGTTGAAATAGCGAGTCCACAAGCCCGGTACCAGCGAGCAGCACAGACACCCCCAGAGTGGCAGGGTCCCCAGAGTTGCAGGGTCCCCACAGGGCCACGTCCAGAGCTGGGAGAGGGTCCCTTACCCCTCGTGTCCCCACTCAGCCGGTGGTGAGCAGCACGGGGAGCCGAGTGACCAGCGAGGTGATGGTGGAGGTGACGACGGCACTGGCCAAGTCTGGGATCTGGTGCCGGGCCAGGAACCGGTTTGGGGAGGCCACGCAGCACTTCATCCTGGAGATCGGTGAGTGGGGGCTGGGATCGGGGCTGCAGGGGGAGACCTGGGGAGGTGAGTGGGGGCAGGTAGCTGGGGGAACAGGGATGGTCAGGGTGGGGTCGGAAAGGGGTAGTAGGGAAACAGAGCAGGAGGTAATTGGGAGGTGGGGGGGCATCTCTCCATCTGGGCACTGACCTGTGTGTCTGTCTTTCCCTCCCATGGCAGAACCCCCAGCAGCTACCCCCTCCTCTTCCCCCCCAGCAGGTGAGTGCCCCTTTCCCATGGGGCTGGGTGGGGGGGGTGATGCCTGGAGCAGCTGTGCCCCCCAGGCAGTGACTGGCACCAGTGCTGGAGCCCCAGGGGGCTCTGGGGGTCATGCCCCCACTAACCTCCTTCTCCCTCTTGTTCATGCTGCCAGGGGACCCCGTGCTCCGGACAGGTGGGTGTTGGCGGGATGCGGGTGGGGGATTAACCCTATTGGGTGCCAAGCCCAGAACTGCCCAGGTGGGCGTGGGGGTCTCTGAGCCCTGAGGGGGGGAGAGAATGCATAGGGGGCCCTAGATGGTTTAGTCCATGGTGTGCACTGGGTGTCCTGTTCCGTCTCCGTCACCCCCCTCCAGCCGGGGCACTTGGCGCCTTGCTCCTTCCCCAGGAACAGAGTCCAAACAAAACCCCAAAGTCGTGGGGCCCGAGGACCAGGTCTGTGACCCCGATCTGGGATCATCAGCTTCCGTCCCTTTATTCCCGAGGCTTCCACCGTCCTCACGCCCGTGGTCAGGAGCCCCAGGCCCTCTCGGCGCTTGTGTTCCAGCCACAGCCTGTCAGATCCCCCTGCGGCTCCTACCTTGGCCCGGTCCCAGCGTCCGTCGCAGCCTGCGCTCTCCTGGCCTCTCTCGGGGTCAGCCGCACATGGGGCTGCCTGGACCCTTCAGCCCCCTGCTCACTGCCTTCAGACCTTCCTGCTATAGGAACCTCCTTGGCCTGCTTCTCCCCAGCTGGGTCTGATCCGTAGTCACACGTCTCCCTCCTGATGTCAGAATGAGCTAATTAGGCTCCCCTGTCATTGCCAGTTTGGAGTTAGACACCCCATCGCAGGGACCCAGGTGTCCAGGCTCACCCGCTTTCCCACAGTGGGGGGCTCTGAGCCCCAGGGAGCAGCAGTGGTTTGGGGGGGAACGTAGGGGACCCAGACGTCCGTGCTCACCACCCCTCCCTCCCCGCAGTGCGGGGCTCTGAGCCCCAGGGAGCAGCAGTGGTTTGGGGGGGACCGTAGGGGACCCAGACGTCCGTGCTCACCACCCCTCTCTCCCCGCAGTGCGGGGCTCTGAGCCCCAGGGAGCAGCAGTGGTTTGGGAGGGAACGTAGGGGACCCAGACGTCCGTGCTCACCACCCCTCTCTCCCCGCAGTCGGGCGCTCTGAGCCCCAGGGAGCAGCAGTGGTTTGGGGGGGAACGTAGGGGACCCAGACGTCCGTGCTCACCACCCCTCTCTCCCCGCAGTCGGGGGCTCTGAGCCCCAGGGAGGCAGCGGTGGTTTGGGGGGGAAGGTAGGGGACCCAGACGTCCGTGCTCACCACCCCTCTCTCCCCACAGTGGGGGGCTCTGAGCCCCAGGGAGCAGCAGTGGTTTGGGAGGGAACGTAGGGGACCCAGACGTCCGTGCTCACCACCCCTCTCTCCCCGCAGTCGGGCGCTCTGAGCCCCAGGGAGGCAGCGGTGGTTTGGGGGGGAACGTAGGGGACCCAGACGTCCGTGCTCACCACCCCTCTCTCCCCGCAGTCGGGGGCTCTGAGCCCCAGGGAGCAGCAGTGGTTTGGGGGGGAACGTAGGGGACCCAGACGTCCGTGCTCACCACCCCTCTCTCCCCGCAGTCGGGGGCTCTGAGCCCCAGGGAGTAGCAGTGGTTTGGGGGGGAACGTAGGGGACCCAGACGTCCGTGCTCACCACCCCTCTCTCCCCGCAGTCGGGCGCTCTGAGCCCCAGGGAGGCAGCAGTGGTTTGGGGGGGAACGTAGGGGACCCAGACGTCCGTGCTCACCACCCCTCCCTCCCCGCAGTCGGGGGCTCTGAGCCCCAGGGAGGCAGCAGTGGTTTGGGGGGGAACGTAGGGGACCCAGACGTCCGTGCTCACCACCCCTCTCTCCCCGCAGTCGGGGGCTCTGAGCCCCAGGGAGCAGCAGTGGTTTGGGGGGGAACGTAGGGGACCCAGACGTCCATGCTCACCACCCCTCTCTCCCCACAGTGGGGGGCTCTGAGCCCCAGGGAGGCAGCGGTGGTTTGGGGGGGAACGTAGGGGACCCAGACGTCCGTGCTCACCACCCCTCTCTCCCCGCAGTCGGGGGCTCTGAGCCCCAGGGAGCAGCAGTGGTTTGGGGGGGAACGTAGGGGACCCAGACGTCCGTGCTCACCACCCCTCTCTCCCCACAGTGGGGGGCTCTGAGCCCCAGGGAGGCAGCGGTGGTTTGGGGGGGAACGTAGGGGACCCAGACGTCCGTGCTCACCACCCCTCTCTCCCCGCAGTCGGGGGCTCTGAGCCCCAGGGAGGCAGCGGTGGTTTGGGGGGGAACGTAGGGGACCCAGACGTCCGTGCTCACCACCCCTTTCTCCCCGCAGTCGGGGGCTCTGAGCCCCAGGGAGGCAGCGGTGCTGCGGTTGTGGCCGTCGTGGTCTGTGTCCTGCTGCTCCTGCTCATCGTCGGCTTCTTCTACTGCATGCAGCGCCGGGGACATCTGTCCTGCGGGGCGGGGGAGAAGAGATCACTGTGAGTGACCCCCAATTCCCACAGCCCCCCCCAACCAGAACACCCCTCCCCCCTTGACTGAATGCAGCACCGGGGACACCTGCCCTGAGGCGGGGGAGAGATTGTCAAGAACCCCCCTCCCCTGGCCTGGGCCGGGTGGCAGAAATCCCTGTGTGAGCCCTCCCACGCCCACCCCCTCTGTTTCCCTTGTCCCCCGTCTGTCTGTCTGCTCCCCATGGCGCTCACTCCTCCCTCCATCCCGCAGGACACCCAAGGAGGGCGGCGCGGAGGACCCGGCTGTGGAGATGAAGACGGACAAACGGAACGAGCAGACGGGGCTGCTGAGCCCGAGTGGGGGCGGGGGCGATGGGGGCCACGAGGTGAGCCATGGGGCGCTGCTGGGGGCAGCATGAGATGAGACGGGTGGAGGGCCCTGGGTGGGCAGCGGGAGGGAACGGGAGGCCTGAAGTGAGGGGGCTGTGGCTTTGGAGATGGAGGGGAGGATGGGGGAGACCCTCCCTTGGGGGGTGGGGGTTGAGACCCTGGCAGAGTTGGGGGGACACTGTCCTCTAAGCCAGGGAGTCATGGCGGGAGGGGGGAGAAGGAGAGTGGGGCAGCAGCTGCTGCTTGGACCCTGGGTTGTCACCCGCTGGGGTGGGGTGGAGGCTGCTGGTGGGGGATGGATTGGGGACATGGGGTCAGTGTGTGATTCTACCCTCCCCCCACCCCTCCCAGTGCTGAGCCCTGCCCCCAGCGGACGGCTGAACCGGGAACCCCCCCAGAGGCAGAGGAGGCTGGGACTGCGGCCGGGAGAAGATGGGCTTTGTCCCCCGTTTCCCCCCCAGGGAGCTGGGGGAGCATTTACTCCTTCACCCCCAGTTCTTTTTGTGTCAATGCCTCGTTTATATCAAGATACTTTTTCAGATGCCCGGGGGGCTCCCCTTGAGCCCCCCATGGACTCCCCAGCCCCCCAGCACACACTGTCCCCCTATGAGTTCCATCCCCATGGATTCCCTGCTCCCCTCAGCATCTGGAGAAAGGGGAGACCCCCACCTGTCCCCAGTTATGGGGGTCAGGGCCAGGTGGGCATGTTCCATCCATGCCCAACCCTCCCACAGCACCCCCCTGACCCACATCCACTACACCCCCAGCAGCCCCCCAGCTCTGGTACCCTCAGGATCTATCCTGCCCTAGCGCCAGGGTCCCCCCTTACCCACAGCACATGCCCCTCGGGGTCTAACTGCTCATGGTAGCAGCCCCCCATCACCTTCCCTCCACCACCTCCAGCATTGGTACCCCCAGAACACACACCCCTCCCCTCCTCTGCCCTTCCCTGTGTCCCCCAACACCTACAGCCTGTTCCCCCCCCACTGGGTTGTATGACCAGGTGGCCCCCCGCCCGGTACTGTATTTGTCTCTCGTTGTGAATGTTTTTTTACGAGACCTGTTTGTTTCCCAGCATTTTGGGGGTGGTTCTGCTGCCCCCCCAAGGGGTCTATTCCTATCTGTGCCCCCATCCCCGGGGCCTTCTCTAGTCGTGACACTGGCTTGGGATGTGGGTGTTTATTTTACTGCAATGTCTGTTGGGGGTACTGGAGCTGAGATGCGGGGGGGGAACCTGGGGGATCCCTGAGATGGGGCAGGCCCCCCACAGGAGCCCTGTTCTGGCAGCTCTACTAACCCCTCCATGGGATCCCCCAGACCTCCACCTTCCTGCTCCGAGGTGCCAAGAGCCTGGGGCCCTCCCCCAGTGAAAGACCTGGGCCCCTGCTCCAGCCACAGGGGCCAAGCCCCATCCTCCCACCCTGGGGAGCTGCAGTCCTTCGCCAAGTGCTGACCCCTCCCCCCCTTGAGCCCAAATGGGGCTATTTATGGCTCTCTCCTGCCCCCCAGCTCAGGGGCCACCACGGAGGGGCGGGGGGAGGGAGCACGGCCCCCACCCCCCACCAGAATTATCCATCCCCACCATCATTCCAGGCCTGATGAGGCCCCATCATTCCCAGCACCCTTGTCCCCCGTCTCATTGGCATCCCCCAGCTCCACCAGAAGGGGATGGGGCTAGGACCCTAGGCCCCCCTTTTCCCAGCCAGCCAGCCAGCAGGGGGCAGCAACCCCCGAGCAACCCTCCCCCGGCATGGGCCACCACCCCCTTGGGAAGAGCCTTGGGGGAGGGGGCTCCAGCCGGGGTGAATTTCCCCCCCATCCCCAGTGGCTGGTCGGTCTAGTCCACAAGCCCCCCACATAGGGGAACCAGCTAGCCGGGGGGAGGGGGTCATAGGTAAGACGAAGCCCTGAATATCAGGACATCTGGTCACCCCCCCCCTTCAGCTCCAGTGGGGGTCCCCCCCATTATTCTGCCTGTTGCCTGCTGCCCCCCCTTCTACTTTACACGGAGGCTAAGTATTAAAGATTGTAACGTCTCCCCCACCTGGCTCCCGGTCTGTACAGCGGGTCCTCTGCTGCTCCGAGAGGCATTTCCTGCCCCCCTGGCCTGGCCCTGGGCCCCTTTGAACTCCCTGCCTGCAGGGCGGGGTGCTGGGGGGGTTGTGTAAACAGAGGATGCCTCTGCCCCCCTCCCCCTTGGCCCAGCTCCTGCTGGGAAGCTGCTCCTGGGTGGGGCAAGTCCCTCGGGGATTTCTCAGGGAGGGCAAATGGGGTGGGGGATTTTAGGCTCTGGGCCTCATTGGCGCTGGGGGTTTGTTTGCAGTTGCAGAGATGGTGAAAAGCAAGGCCCTTAAAACCAGCGCCAGGGGAGCGGGAACGGGGCGAGGCGCGCGCCAGGGAACGGGAACGGCGCGAGGCGAGGCGGGCGCCAGGGGAGCGGGAACAGGGAGAGGTGGGCGCCAGGGGAGCGGGAACAGCGCAAGGCAAAGCGGGCACCAGGGGAGCGGGAGTGGGAACGGGGAGAGGGGGGCGCCAGGGGAGCGGGAATGGCATGAGGCGGGGCGGGCGCCAGGGGAGGCGGGGGGCGGGCCAGGGGACCCGGGTGAGGAGAGGCGAGGGGGGCGCCAGGGGAGCGGGAATCGGGCGAGGAGAGGCCAGGGGGGCGCCAGGGGAGCGGGAACGGGGCGAGGAGAGGCGAGGGGGGCGCCAGGGGAGCGGGAACAGGAACAGGGCGAGGGGGCCGCCAGGGAAGTGAGAGCAGGAACGGGGCCAGGGGAGCGGGAGCGGGGCGAGGGGGGCGCCACGGGAACAGGGCTAGGAGGGCGGCAGGGGAGCAGGAGCGGGGCGAGGGGGGCGCAAGGAAAGGCCAATACACAGACCAGTAGACACCTTGTGCTAACTTCTGCCCTGGTGCAGGGTGCATGTAGACTTTCTCCCATCGTTTTCACAAGCGCCAACCAGCATGAGCCTCTGAGTGGGGTGTCGATGTCTGTAGGCAGAGGGGACGTGGCCCCTTCTTGTAGCCTGCTGGGCAGGTTTGCCGCCCCCCACCCCACCCTGGTAATTGGGGCCCCTGAGGGCTGAGCGATGCCGATAGAGCCAGGACACAAGGCTGCAGGTTGGGCTGTGGCCAAAGCCAAGGAGACGCCCGCTAATCTGGGCGAGGAGTGTGGAGTGGGCTGGAGGCTTTCCACCTCGCGGGTGGGCGCACTGGCTACAATCTGGCTCCAGGACATCATGGAAGGAGGTTGGCTAAGAGGTGTCTCTGGGATTTTGTCCTGCACAAGTCCCTGTTTTCCTGGCAGAGGGGCTGGAAAAGGCATTTCCTCCCCCACCCCTGTCCTTGGGGAGCCCATGCTATGGAAAGCTCAGCAGCTACATGCAGGGCCCAGATCAGCTGACAGACAGCCAGCGCCACCTGGGCTGGGCTTCCTCGCCACTCATATAGCCAGGGAGAGAACCCAGGAGTCCTGGCTCCCAACCCCCCCGCTCTAACCACTAGGCCCAGCTCCCCTTGGCATCTGTGTCTCTGAGCTGTGCGGCATCCCCTGGCCCTGTGTCCCATGCTGACCGTTCTGTGCCCAGCTCCCCCCCCCCACGGGCAGTTGTCCCCCTGCTGTGGCCAGCACAAAGCCGTCAGTGAGGCAGGGCTCACCGATGCCAGCTGCACACCCAGCTTCACCTGTCCTGGGGGGCCCAGGGAACCAGCGTGTGGGGGGGGGGGTTTGCCAACTGCTGAGGGGGCAGCTGGGCCACTTTAGTTCGTGTCCCACACGCCTGGCCCCTCGCTCTATGCAAGGCGCTGGCCCTGACCCCAGCCCTGGGCTATGTAGCACCTGGCACCTCAAGGGCCCCGATTGCGGGCTGTGGATACAGAAGTTACTGATAATTGGGCCCCTGAGTGTGACACTGATACTGGTGTCCACCCCCCTGCAGCCCGACAGCCCAGGGGGCGAAGTGCATGGGGCAGGGAGCCAGGCATCCGGCTGGAGCCAGGCACCTGAGAGCCTGGGTTATTTCTGATGCAGCCCAGTTCGCCCCACTCAGCTGCTGCCCAGGCTGGGAGCCTGGGCCCCTCGGGGCACCAATTTCATGGGTTAGGTGGGGAGCCTGTGGACCTGAGGGGAGTGGGGGGAGAATGCAGAGGAGGCTTCGTCCAGCCGCGTCCTCCCACGGCCGAGAAGGAAATTAAAGCGTTAGCTGCCGGTTAGCGCCGCATCAGCGCATCAGGCTCGGAGCGGTGGGCGGGCGCAGCTGGGCAGCAGCACTGGAAAAAGAGCATCAGGACTCCTGGGTTCTATTTTACCAGCCCATCTTCAAGAGGGGAGTGAGGGCTAGTGGGTTAGAGCAGGGGCCTGGGAGCCTGGACTCCTGGGTTTTAACACCCCCTCCTAGGAGGGGAGTGGGGTGAAGTAGTTTCGTGGGGGGGCAGGTCCCCCTGTGCCCAGCTGGAGGGGCACATGGGGGTGGAAGGAGGGGGGACAGGCTGCTCGTTTCCTTGTGCTGACTCTGATTTTCCCTTTGACCCATGGATGGCTCCGGCTGCAGCTGCCGC